TTGCCAAATGGTGGTATAATAATAAATAATTGAGTATAGTAACTAAAGGAACAATAAATTTTAAAATAAGGTGTAAAGCAGAATTACAAGTACTTTATCTTTTTTATAAAGTGTTATTTTTTCTTTATATATGACTTTACTTATACTACATATTACTATATTTAATAAACATGAATCATATAGTAATCATGAAAAATATGACAATCATATGTGTATCCTTTAAGTTGCTAGGTGAGTTTAGGTTTATTTCTACTATGTTTGACATTCTTGTGCCTGTTTCAAATTGGAATGAAGTTCAGTGACGTGGGAAATAAATATAAAATACCACATAACTATTTACTCAAGAAATAGATCTGTAGAGCATGTAAAGATTCTTGAAATTCCCGTTACTGCTGCAATGCTGCTTGTAAACAAAATGAACTTCAGTGAATCATTGAAAATTTTTATTTTTGGTCAACCTAAGAAAATGTACAGAATATTTTTTCCTATTTTTAAAACCCTTGCTTTACTTTTTTCTACAGATTGTGGCCTAACTTAAATCTGTAGCTTAATCACTCATTTTTTCTTCTTACTCTCCCTTCTCTTTGGCCAAGCCATTAAACTTACCATACTTTGCACTTTGTGCTATCTGCTTGCCTAAGGCCAGCTTCTTCATACTTCTTCAGATGATGTTTTCCTCCACCTCCATATATCCAGACTCTTGCCCTTTTACCAGGACAGAGGTCAAAGGCCACTTCCTTTGCCATTATATTCTCCTCTGCCCTTTAGGAAAAGTGATCTCTCCCAAAGTCACAAAACTTTGATTTGTAACTCTCAGTACTACCTAGTATATCACTGGTATATTCTCAAACAGTTGACCTTAAATTAAGCCATATTATGTCCCACAACCTCTTTTAAGTAACGACCTTTTCCTGAATTTTAGCAAGAAGAATATATTATTCATTTTTATATTCACATACACACAACAGTATGCCCTTTATAGTACAGGTTTTCCCCTGCTATCTGAAAGTAGAGCTTTTCTGTGACACCTTTTGTAAGCCAAAATAGCATAAAGTGAAGAAGCAATTACCATTAATTTATATGCAAAATTTATTAGGGTTCCCAGACCCAAAAAATAACCTCTGTTAGGCTTTCCTGATACCTTAAGACATGTCTTGTTTAATGGATGCACAAAATAAATGGAGATAAAGCACAGATGCTCCCAGACACAGTTCATAGCAATGGCAGCTGGATGCTGAGGTGCCGAGTGCAGCTCCCAGGGAAGGAACTTGGTGCTGCCACTCTCAACTCACTACAAAGCAAACGCTAAATGTTGTTTTCACTTACGCTTTTTTTTCTTTTCTTTCTTTTTGTTTTTTGTTTTTTTTGTTTTTTTTGTTTTTGTAAAAGCAGAAATCCTCTTCGGATTTCTTTCGTTTAGCAAAAATAAGTACTAAAGCAGATCTTTCCTAAAAGCAAAGTGGCATTATGGGAACTTTTAAAAAGCAGGAGATACCTGTACATGTAGGTATTATTCAAATAATATATGTTGAATGACTAAATGTGTAATGTACAAAATGGTTAAATAAGTAATGGTTGATTAGATAAAATGAATCATAATTAATTCAACTTCTACATATTGAGGAACTACTATATGTCAGTCATCCTGTCTTGTAAAAGGATTACAGAATTCCTCAAGATTTCAGGCTAGTGGAGAATCCAGACTATGCATTATATTTTATACACAATGGAGATGCTATGAGAATATTTTATACACAATACATAATAAATACTATGTATTAATTTTATACACAATGGAGATGCTATGAGAACAGAGAAGGAATGTCTAAATCAGTCTGAAAAGGCAATGAAGGCTGGTTATAAAAGGTGATAGCTTATCCAAGCCTTGAAGGACTAGTTAGGGTTAGTTACGTGCATAAAGTTGGAACAAGTATTTTAAAAAGAGGAAACAAATGTGAAGGTCAAAGATGAAAACATATCATGATATTTTCCAAGAATTTACAAGAATGTCAGGAACTCAGTTGTGAAGGATTTTATGGGCTGCCCTGAAGAGTGTGACTTTATCAGAAAATTTCCTGGTTTCCATAAAAAAGATACTAAGCAGAGAAATGACAAAATAATGCTTTATTGTAGGAAGAGCCCTTTGAGGTGACGGTGAAGGCTGTGTTAAAAGGGATGAGACGGGAAAGGTGACCTCCAAGAGAGTTTGCGGAGTTTTCCAGGCTATAAATAATGGGAGCCTAATCTAAAAAAGTCTTGGTAAGAGCGCATGGGAGAGGAAGGAGTTGAGATATAATTCAGGATAAAATCCACCAGACTTGGCTGGAAATGCAAAGAATGGGAGATGGGGCCTAGTACACTTCCAGGTTTCCCACTTGGGACACAGATGATGTTCACAATGACAGCTTTAACAAGAGAAAGAATAAAATTTGTAAGAAAAGATGATGAAATTAGGTATTTGTTGTTGTAGGTGTAAGTTGACATCTAGAAGATGATTTCTAGTACCCAACTGTCTGAATCAGTTTCATCTACAATAACAAAATAGTACAAACTGAGTAGCTTATCAACAATATAAATTTATTTGTTACAGTTCTAGAAGCTGGAAGTCTGAGCTCAGGATGCCAGCAAGATTGGGTTCTGACAAGGACTTCTTCCATGTTTTAGAGAGCTTACTTCTTTTTATCCACACACGTTGGAAAAAGAACTAAGTAGCTCTCTGGCCCCTTCTAAGGGCACTAATCCCATTTATGAGGGATCCACCCTCATGACTTAATTATCTCCCAAAGGCCTCACCTCCAAATATTATTACATTGTGGATAGGGGGCTTCAACATGTGGATTTTAGGGAGACACATTCAGTCCACTGCAGTTGATTAATACAAATTAAGCTGAGGAAAGGAAGATAAGAATTTAGAAGCTTCAGTAAGGATGTTGGATTTTACTTAATATGCACGAGGAGAGTATTGAAGCATTAAACACAAGGAAGATGTGTTTATCCTTCCAGTTTATGTCATCTTCTGCTAACTCCCACCTCAAATTTTGTACCCAAACTAAAGCACTTTTAGTTCCCTGAAGACACCATGCTTTTCTCCTCCGGCTGTTTGCCTATAAAGGTCTTCTCCTTGGGAAATCCAGCCTTCTCAAAAACCTGTGAGTGCCCCAGATTACCTTTAGTTATCTCTTATGTTCTCTCTAACAACCTGTACTACCACCTGTAGTAGAACTTTTTGTACTATTTTAAATAAAATTTTTAAAGTATGCATACATATAAGAAAGTCCACAAATAATTCTACAGCTCCTTAGTAAGCAAACTGTAAGATGGCCCCTAAGATCCCTACCCCACCCTCTTGTGAACACACCCTATATAATCATCCCACCTTGAATGTGGGCAGGATGCGTGATTATGACCGCATACTCTCCTTTGATTAAATTATACTATGTAAGACTCCTTCATGGCAAGAGATTCTCCTGCTGGTTTTGAAAAAGTTACTTGTGATTTTGCATGAGAGCCATGTGGCTAGGATCTAAGTATAGCTTGTAAATGCTGAGAGCAAACTGACTGTGGTTGAAGAATATATTCTGTATTATTTCAATTCTTTTAAATTTGTTCAGATTTGGGTTATGACCCAGGATACAACCTATCATGTATGTTCCTTGGATACTTAAAGAAAAAAAAAGTGTATTGTTGGGTGGAGTATTATGTAAATGTCAATTAAATCCTGTTGGTTGATATTGCTGATTTCCTCTCTGTCCTTACTGATTTTCTTTTTAGTTGTTCTATCAATTATTGACAGAGAGAGGTGTTGAAATCTCCAACTATAATTGTGGATTTTTCTACTTTTCCCTTTTGTTTTTTCTTCACATATTTCATAGTTCTGATTTTTGGTCCGTACATATATAGGTGGATTATGGTCTTTTATGATTATATAATATCCCTCTGTCTCTATTTTCTTTGCCATATCGTCTATATTATCTGCTGTTAATAAATATAGCCACTTCTTATCTTTGATTAGTATTTATCTATCATTTTCCATCATTTTTTTCTTCCAACCTGCTTATTTTGTTATATTTGAAATGAGTTACTTATAGACAACATATACTTGAGTCATGTTTTTTTTTTAAACCCACTCTTCAAATCTTTATATTCTAATTGGTATATTTAGACCATTTGTACTTAACGTAGGTGTTGATAAGCTGAGGCTTATGTTTGCCATGTTATTTTTTTTTGTTTGTTTTCTGTTTATTCTCTCTGTTGTTCATTTCTCTGTTTTCTTCTTCCTGCCTTCTTATGGAATATCCTTAAATCTTGTTTCTTAGTAATATGTTTGTTTTCCAAATTTCCTGAATTGACCATGTTTTAGTTTTAAAATAAAAGAAAATTGTATACCTATTGCTTTTAGAACTTTTTTGGTGACCCGGAGGAAGTATGTGTATACACACACATACACACACATTAGAGAGAGAGAAAGAGAGAGAGAAAGGATCTTTTGAGAAACTTACGAAGCCACTATTAAGAGGCAAGAAAAATTCAAGAATGTACTGTTTATTACTATAACAGTTTGAATGGCAGTGGGTGTTTAAAAGCTTCAAATGCTGAGAAGTGGCAAGATCATTAGGGACTTTCATGACAGCAACTATACCAGGTTGAGGAGTAAACATGAGGTGTGGTAGTTAGGAAGGTGAAGTCAAAACTGGGGTAATCTTTCAAGAAGTTTGCATTTAAAAGAAATGAAAGTAAGACAGTGATACTTTGTCACAAACCAGTTGTCAAGGAAGGAGTTTTCGTTAGTTTTTTAACATAGACTCAGTCTTAAAATATTTATATAGAGAGTAAAAAGAAGCAGTAGAGAGTAAAAACACCCAAGAAAAACAAATGGATAGAAAAAGAGTGTGGGGCACCTGAGTAGCTCAGTTGGTTAAGCTTCCAACTTTGGCTCAGATCATGATCTCATGGTTTGTGAGTTCAAGTCCTGCATCAGGCTGTGTGCTGACAGCTCGGAGCCTGGAGCCTGCTTCGGATTCACGCTGCAGAACCGCGTGTTTCAGGAGCGAATTAACTGCCTGGAAGGGACCCACGAGTTTTTTGAGGCCGTCGGCTTCCAGAAGGCCCTGCTTCCGGTGCCCGATCAGGAGGGCCCCGAGGAGTTCTACGTGCTGAGCGAGGCCGCCCTGGCCCAGCCCCGGAGCCTGCGGAAGCACAAGGAACAGCTGCTGGTCGCCGAGCCCGTGCGGGCCACGCTGGCCCGCCAGCGTCGCGTCTTCCGGCCCTCGCCCCTGGCCTCCCAGTTTGACCTGCCCGGGGACTTCTTCAGCCTCACGGCGGAGGAGGTCAAGCGGGAACAGAGGCTCAGGTCCGAGGCCGTGGAGCGGCTGAGTGTGCTGCGGACCAAGGCCATGCGGGAGAGGGAGGAGCAGAGGGAGCGGCGCAGATACACCTACACGCTGCTGCGCGTCCGCTTCCCCGACGGCTGCCTGCTCCAGGGCACCTTCTACGCCCGGGAGCGGGTGGCCGCGCTGTATGCCTTCGTCCGGGAGGCCTTGCAGAGCGACTGGCTGCCTTTCGAGCTGCTGGCCTCGGGCGGGCAGAGGTTGTCGGAGGAGGAGAGCCCGGCCTTCGACGAGTGCGGGCTGGTGCCCTCCGCCCTCCTGACCTTCTCGTGGGACGCAGCCCTGCTGGAGGACCTCAGGGCCGCAGGGGCGGAACCGGACTCTTCTATCCTGAAACCTGAGCTCCTGTCGACCATCGAGAAGCTCTCGTGAAATAAAAGCAGGGTTGGCTTTACCCCGCGTGGGTCTGTCTCATGCTCTCCTGCGGCCTCCACCGCTCCGCCCCCCCCCCCTTTCTCCCACCACCCAGGGTACCCCGCTTCTCCGGAACTGCTCGCCCTGGTCCACAGAGCCCTGCAGGCACGGGGTGCAGCGCTGGTCGGCTGCGACGGGGGCCTGGGACCGCCACTGGAGAGGGCTCTCAGGAGGCAGCTGCCGGGCTGTCTTCCTTCCTTCTGCACTGGGTGTCAGCCGGCTACGGCCACTATCACCTGATCGCAGAACTCCCGGCAGGAGAGTAGGCCTGTGGCACGTGCCCTGTCCCCACGTGCTGTGGTCCAGGTGGCTGCCGCTGGCCCTGACGTTGAGCCGCGGGGTGGCTGGGGAGGGCGACGGAAGAGGGGGACGCGGAGCCTGTCAGGACTCGGTCCTGTGATTACTGAATTACGAACCCAAATAAACGGGACGTGTGTCTAGTCTCCTGGTGGTGAATCGGAGCTGGTGCCACACAGGGTAGGGGCAGTGGCTGCGGAGCTGCCCACAGAGGAGGCCCGGGCGTGGCTCCCAGTGGGATGGGACCAGGTAGAAGGATACCTGCTGATGGCAGGCCTCCCAGGGACCCGGCATGAGGGGGCCGGGGTCCCTCGAAGGCTCTGTT